ACAGATCTCATTATTATTGTCGGAGACATTGGATTACCATATGCCATAAGAAGGCTAGAGCAATGACTTGAAAAATAATGCCACATGACTAGTCATCATTGTTACAATATGTCTCACTTAGATATGCAGAATTTTATGAGAAGAACGAACTGTACAACTTCATCTTCCCCTGCAATGCTGCGAATACTAAAATACCATTCAGATTTCTGTACACATCATAAATGTTCGTGTAGAATAGATGATGCTACTTATCTCAGTTGAACTTGCTTTGAGAACTCCGAAGTCAAAATGGCTTCTTACCCATTCCCTATATTTTGAACATTCCTAGAAAGGAGCTATCATGCTCTACGACTGCTCTCTAAATTAATTTCCTATGGAGGGCAAACATGCAAGAGATGGAAAGAAGATTGATTTTGATGAGTTCCCGCAAAGGGAGGACAGATGCGCGTTGTAGACATTGGTGTTCGCTTTTCCATGTCTTGTTATTCTTACATAACTACTTTAGTTTGTGCCTCTGTGGAAAGGAAAGCACTTGTTAAATTTCCTGTGTATATCACGCGCAAAGCTCGGACGAAAGTACAAGATCCGGAGAAATTTGTTATATTTACCTTCAATACAGGGTACCCTAGACTCGCCTTCTAATCGGCAACTCAGACCAATGATGTGACTGTTCACACATACCAAATTCTTCTTATTACAGTAATATTAGCAATGTCAAACATACAAAGAAAGCTAGAATGCTATTTTGTACATCTATATGATTGAACTCCCGTGATATATCATTACCAAAAGAGGCATAAACAAATTCAGAAAGAACAGAATTTGAGAATCCGCAAGTCACGTTGATCATGCAAGAGAACTACAAGATTACAACGCTCATTTCTTCCTCAGCACAGCTACTTTCTCTTTGAAAACCATTTCCGGATGATAGAAGGGGAAAGATGAAGACTTCCTAAATGTTTGGTGATTTTTCTTTCTTGAAAAAGTATGGGGTCTTGTAACACTTACTTCAAAGTGAATCGATGGAAAGCTGGAATAGCAAACATCACTCTATGATGAGTGCTGTAATTTGTCATGACAATATCTTTGAGGTTCCCAGAGTAGGTGCCAATCATCAAAAAATCAAATCTCTCCAAATCCTTCGGGCGCAAATTCTCGGTCTTGTTGTACCTAAATGTAACACGAATCTCACACCGCGCGAAAGCTGTTCTCCTTTGAAGGCAGAAGCTCGGCAGAGTTTCGTTTTCCAGTTTTTCACTTTTCGGGGCCTTCTCGCCGTGAGGAACCTATACATGGGTCTTTCCGCGCGTG